TAAAATATAACACAATATTAACTTCTTATTTACTGAACTGTAAATAATCGCTTAACATATGAGACAAAAACTCATACAGGAGCATTTTTGCACCAATTTTAGGGCATAATTGCATTTATGAAGTTGTTGCCCTGCATCATATTTGTCAACAGTCAACTGAATGAAATGTAAGATGACATACAGGTCTGGGGGTGGGGCCAGTGCGTTAACTGCGTTAAAATATTTTAATTGCGTTATTTTTTCATAACTAATTTATTAGCACGTTAAACTGACAGCCCGGTGACTAGGTACAATGTAATTTTGGTTAGATTAGGATGCTTCATTTAGGCTATTTTAGCGTACGCAATATATATTACCATTATCAAGAGTGCATAAAAGGGTGCATAGATTACATATTTCGGTACTACTAACCGACTTGTTTGGCCTCCACAGCAGCGGTGTACTCTTTGCTGAAGCTGAGCTCTGTGATGGCCACGTCATCCAGGATGATGTTAAAGTCTTTAGCTCTCTCGATTAGATCTCGCCTAATGAGTAGTGACACCTGCACACCAAAATAAAACAACACATAAATAACAGCTAGGCTGATTTTCTCAGTAACTGATCAACTTATTTAAACCATCAACAGACATGCAGATACAATGAGGTCTAAAAGTGAAAGTGCTTATATTTAGAACTGTTCTTATTTAATACAAAGTTTTTCACATAAATGAATATATGAATGTACTAGTATTTGCCATGTCCTTCTTCTGCTTTACTGACAGTAACATTTGAACTGACATGAACTCCACAAGTTTGTGTAAAACTCATGTTACCCAACTCAAACTCATGTTGATATGATAATGTAATACAACTGTAATACATTTTGGTCACAAGTCTACATTTCTAGACTTGACCAAACAAACAGACACTTTAATATGAAATATTTAATGTAGTGTGTCTCAGCTCTTGTATCAGATGAGAGTGTGTGAAATAACAGCCCGTTTTCTTAAACAGCTCTGTAACTAAATAAAGGCAGAGCTTCTTATCCTCCACAAAGAGGTTAATAATTTATTTCTCACACCAGGATCAGACCTGAGAATCTGCTGACAGTGTTAAAGCCAAAGGTCAGGGGCAGAAGGTGAATGTATGGGTTAGGAGTGAATCTTATAAGAAGTTATAATAGAATCTGCATTAAGATAAATACCTGATAATATCGATCCTATTCTTTTGGGAATATCTTTTCTATGAGCATGTCATTCCAATTCACGTCACGTGTATGGCTGACTTTTTTTCAGTTCAAAACAAACAAACCAAAAAAAGTCATTTTGAATGTGTTCACATTTTTCCATGTAAGCAAATGGGGACTGAGCTTAGCAGCAAGCACCAAAAAAATTTACATTAGTGTTAGAGGCCTTTTTTGCTTTTGTTAATTGTATATTAAATAAAAAGAAAAAAATAGATAGAATACAAAAACATTAGAGAAGCTAGTGTTAGTTTTTATTTTTTTTAAAGAAAACAAGCAGTAAATGAATAGAATGCAAGTCTAAAATGGACAAGTTTTTTTTTTAAGAATAGAAATAGAATTGGGAGTGCTAGAGTTCAAATAAAGATGGAAGAGATGTGTTTTTAGCAGATTCTTGAAGATGGCTAAGGACTCAGCTGCTCGGATTGAGTTGGGCAGGTCATTCCACCAGGAGGGAACATTTAATTTAAAAGTCTGTGAAAGTGATTTTGTGCCTCTTTGAGATGGCTCAAAAAAGGGAAACTCACTTGCAGAAAAAATATGCTGTACAACTGCCCTGAGGAAAATCTTCAGCTTATACCTTTTAATTCCAATAAACACTAATAAACACTCCTTCAGTTATGGTGTTGCCATGATTAATGACATTATTGTATTACACTGTTGGTTGTGACTACGTTGTTGTTATAAACATGGAAAATTTATTTTGGACTTATTGACAGCTTTGTGAGACAGTTGATTTATTTATAGAATTATTTATTTTTGGAACAAGCCCTTAGTTTGTAGTGGAAGTTAGACAGTTGTTTGAGTTTTTACAACTGTGACAAGTAGATAAAAATGACAATGATTTATTTTTCCCATAAAGTCTTTTGGGATCCTAATAATAAACATACTAAATACAGTTGAGGTCAAAAGTTTACATCCCCCTTTCAGCATTTGCAAAATGTTAATTATTTTACCAAAATAAGAGGGATCATACAAAATGCATGTTATCGTTTATTTAGTACTGACCTGAATAAGATTTCACATAAAAGATGTTAACATATAGTCCACAAACGAAAATGTTCAATTTATAAAAACGACCCCATTCAAAAGTTTACATCCCCTTGATTCTTAATACTGTGTGTTGTTACCTGAATGATCCACAGCTGTTTTTTTTTTTGTTTTGTTTAGTGATAGTTGCTCACGAGTCCCTTGTTTGTTCTGAACAGTTAAAACTGCCTGCTGTTCTTCAGAAAAAAATCCTTCAGGTCCCACAAATTCATTTTATTTTTGGCATTTGTGTGTATTTGAACCCTTTCCAACAATGACTATGATTTTGAGATCCTTTGAATTTGAAGATCAGGGTAAATTTAACTTATTTTGTCTTCTGGGAAACATGTAACTATCTTCTGTAGCCTCTGAAGGGCAGTACTAAATGAAAAATATATTTAGGCAAAATAAAAAAAATGTACACATCTCCATTCTGTTCAAATGTTTTCACCCCCTGGCTCTTAAGCATCAGTGAGCGTTTACATTGTAACATTGTTAAAATGTTACATTACAAAAAAGGACAGGTATTGGTACCGGCAAGTACCAGAGAGAAAATAACGGTACGGTCTTTAAAAAAAAATGGTATATGTGCATCTGTAGTTGTAATAGTTGTGTATGAGTCCATTTTGTTAAAAATACCCATTCACAGATTTGCAAACTTTTGACCACAGCTGTAACAAGAACACGAGCATGATTTTGTTACATATGAATTGATAGATGTGACCCTTCTGTAAAGTTATTCAGCAATGTTTAATCCGTTTCTTTTTTATATAGCATGTTAAGTTTGCACAAACAGCCTGTAGTCCAGTGAGGACTACAGCCTACTTGTCATTGTTTTAATCTGCCCTTGTGTCATTTCAATACATTTGATTATATAAAGAGTTTGTCTCATTACTGAACGTCAATCACAACTGTTTTCTTAACTGTGGCAAATCAGTTAGCTTGCCATACTATTATCACCAAAGTATTTACTAATTTCTCAGACATAAAGTGACGTGACATGTGGCCAAGTATGGTGACCCATACTAGGAATTAGTGCTCTGCATTTATCCCATCCTAAGTGCGCCAACACAGCAGTGAACACACACACACACTGTGAACACACACCCGGAGCAGTGGGCAGCCATTTATGCTGCGGCGCCCGGGGAGCAGTTGGGGGTTCGGTGCCTTGCTCAAGGGCACCTCAGTCGTGGTGTTGAAGGTGGGAGAGAGCGCTGTACATTCACTCTGAAAACTACAATCCCTGCCGGAACGAGTAGTCATTGTCATTACAAGTCCGACTCTCTAACCATTAGGCCACGACTTCCCCCCTAAATTCCTGCCACTATCCAGTCATGGTCATTCATCTTCATAGGCAAATAAGTACACAACACAGTGCTTTCCAATACTTTTATTTGAACAGTACAAATCAACTTCTACTTGGACTTCTGGCTTTGTGCCTGTGCCTTCAGTACTTTGACCACGATCTTCTGCTCCTCAATGAGGAAAGCTCGTTTGATCCTGAAAAGTGACGCAGACAGATATGGATCATTAGCTCACAAAAAGCATTTAAGAGTTTAACTACACAGCATTCCTAAATCAATAGTTCACCAATTTATGAAAAACATGTCATTATTTACTTGTTTCATTATTACTTAATCTGCGAAACCCAAAGGAGAACTGTACTGGTCGTTCCTTTCCACAAAATAATTTGACTATTCAACTATCACTTTTGCAAAGTACAGTACAATGCAAATTAAATCCAAAAGCATCAAACCAGAAGTATAAACTGCTATTTATATATTTATCAAAACAAAAACAGTTAATCCATTCATCCTGCCCTTGAAGGTTAAAAAAGGATGCAAAAGCATGAAAAAAATGCCATTTAACAGGGGTGTAACGATCCATTGATATATGGATCGATACATCGATCAAATGTCTGACGATACAATGTTACAAGAAACTGTTAAAGAGCACACGTGGATAACAATGTATCGATGCCACGCGTAAAATATGGATATCTGTAGTATAAATAGGCACTTATTTTGGCACCACTATCCACATTTTAACATATTGTCCATCTATGCATTACTGCCAACGCATGCATTCTCCTTCAAACTCATGACTTTGACTTAATCAGATTTTAGTGTTTTTAACCTTCATAACTATTACAGTGTCAGTTTCTGTCCAATCTCCATGAAATTTTGCATGATTGTTTAGAATCACATAATGCATGAGTTTGCATAGATTTGTGATGTTCTGTGCTTTCTTTTAGGGTTTAAAGGCATTTGGGTACACTATATAAGGACCACATTTTTAAATGACCCTGTTATAGCTGTCCAGATGCAAATGTTCAACATTAATTATTGACCTAGAGAGTCCAGAGAATTGTACTGCACTGATTTGATTGATTTTGAGTTAAAAACCTAGGACTAGTTTAAAAAAGTAGTTTTTTAAAATTATCTCAAATATTTAAAGCTGCAGTCCGTAACTTTTTTTGTGTTCAAAATTTACAAAATTGATATAACAAGCGAGTACACCATGAATCCATTTCCCAAAGCGTGTTTTTGGCTTGTCCTGAATCACTACGGTACACCTATAATAAGTGTTTATATTCGGACTATTTAGACTGGTTCGGGTAGGTACCGCTGAGGAGTAGCCCAGTACCTGCGTGATTCGCCATAGACAAACAGAGAGAAGGAGCTCCGGCTACAATGTTCGTCCGCAAGACGCACGCAGTTCTGTTTATTAACCGCTAGAGCGCCAAAAGTTACGGACTGCAGCTTTAAAGAACAATTTGATTGACACCAGTGGTCCTAGAGTCAAAGTTGTTCAGAATGAGGAAATCTATCATATATGAAATGAAGATCTAGTGTATATGTGAATATGAACTTTTTTTTTTTTGCAATTTTGAGGTCATTTACTATAGAAATATTGTGTTTTTGAGACCATCTTAACTGTTACAGCGCCACCTATGGTCCGATCTCCATGAAACTCTGCATGCTTGTTAAGAGTCATCCGTCACATGGTTTCACCAAGTTTCGTAAAGTTTTGAATTTTTGTTTCGGTTTTATAGGCTTTTGGGTGTATTTGGCTACGCTCCTTTTCTAAATGACCCTGTTATAGCTAACCAAAGGACATAATTCAAATTTTTTTTTTTATAATTATTGATCTAGAGAGTCCAGAGAATGGTTCTGCAGTGGTTTGATTGAGATTGAGCGAAAAACCTAGGACTAGTTCGCAAAAGTAGGAACTCAAACCTTATGCAGTGCACTTTTGTTCATGTTGACCCAAGGATTCCAAAATTGTATGACAAACGGTGTATGTGTACGAGCTAGGGCCAAAAATGTCTGAAATGTTAGTTTTTTGCGCTGTAGTGCCCCCTTTTGGCCGACTGGGGCAAGTCTTTGGATCTGAGTAGCGAGCAATACTACAACAATCTGACCAAATTTCCGCTCTCTAGGCCTTACGGTTTCGGCTGCACAATCAGTTTTACCAGAAAAAAATAATAATTAAAAAATCCTTATAATTACAATTGGGTTTCAGCATTATGTGCTTGAACCCCTAAATATTAGCGATGCACAGATTGACCGGCCAGTGATCGGAATCGGCCGATTTTTCGCATGACTGGCCCGGATCGGTGACCGTCCAGTCAGTCTCACGTCTTGCAGATTCCGAGCCAACTCTTTTATTGCCAGCAGCGCCGGCATTGACGTCACAGCCACGCACACACTCACAGTCGCGTGTAAATATGTCGTTTCACGTGAGAATGATTCTAATTTTAATTGCATTCAGTGTAAACGGCGACTGATAATGTATTTATGTCGTGCCAGATGATGTACAGCCTGAATGAGTGTGTGAGAGAGACAGCACACACAAAGTAACTCACAGAAATTAATTAGATGCATACTGCGGTAGAAAAACAAAGATATTTACAAAATATGATTTCGGTACGTATACGGCCATGATGTTTCCCCGAATATCAATATCAACACGATTGCAATGTGACACTGATTTTATACAATAGTATTTCAATAAACAAGAAGTTAAAATTAAGTGACAATTGAAAATATTGACTGTTTTTGCTCAATTTCGCTGACGAAAATAGTTCGCCCGTTCATAAGGACAGTCACTTGCCTCGTTTCTGAATGAATCAGCAGTTTGAATTAATCGGTTGAATGAATGAATGACTCACTCATTAAAACAGACATTTGTCGCCACCTACTGGTGGTTTAGTTATATTTAAAAGTATTCTTGCATTTTTTCAACATTTATTTGCATGTTTAAAAAAATATGTAAAACATTAATCTTTGCGAAATTTCAAATGCATAAATAATTTTATGTGCAAATGCATTTATGGCACCTCAGCTTCATCAAACTGTCTGTGTAAATGCATCTAATGCCACTTCAGATGCAGCTTCTGTTTCCTCAGCAGTGGAAAGATAGAGTTTGTTAATACTAAATTCATTTGAATGGTAACAACTCTACAGTTTCTTATTATTCTAACTGAATTAATTGAAACAAAGTAAGAATTTGATGTGAAAG